TCTATTTATTTAATTTTTTTTGGTAATCATCGAAATCCACCCCCCCCGTTTTTGAAGTTTTTGTGTTTTTTTTTTGCGAGGAGGTAGGGGACCCCCCCCTGACTCGAAACCCGTTCCCCGTTCCCCGCCCCCCAAACCCCCTCCCCGATCGGCGGCGGCCTCGGCCGAAAAAACTCGGCCGGACCGGCCGCGGCCGGGGGGGTCCCGGCCTAGGCGGGCGGCCGTGGCCTGGGCCGAACCCGGCCGCGGCCACCGTGCAACATAGCTACCCGCCACGTCGACAGAGTTTCTTCTGACACACACTGACATTGAACAGATCACAACATGGCGCACATGGCGCAGAATCCTTCTGAAGACAACAGCAGAGCGCAATGTCGACACGATCATGAACAGTCAAGCTCTCCTTTCTACACTCGACCGATCTCACAGCCCTCCTCCTCCTCCTTGCCAATACCATATCAATGTCGTAGACAGTGTGGCGAGCGCCACATCAGCAATAATCAAGAAGAGAGCAGGCGCCGAAGACAGCAGATGGCACCAGCGCAGTAGCAGCTCACGTCGTCGTCAAATATCAAGCCAGCATCCAACCAGCGTATAGCCAGTGTAAAACCAGCATCGAGCCAGCGTCAAGCCAACGTCGAGCAGCAAGTGCAAGACTGAATGTTGGTCAGCAGGGGCTGGGTCGAGGTTGACCAGCCTTTGGTCTCTCGGATACGACGGTCCAGATTGACCCACCGTCATTGGCCTGGATCTCATACAGTTGCAGATTCCCACTTGGATCGTATTCTTGACAGATACCTACAAACAGCCAACTGTGTGTGTCTCATCGGTGGCCTGGCCTGTCCACGTAGGGAAAGCTGCAGCTAGGACCAACTATTGTTGGGTCCGAATTCGGGGAATGCCTTGCATTGCCACTTACCACTGCAGCAGCAGCAACAGGGTCTGGACCTGCTGCAGGCCGGGATAGGCTGTTGACCACACTCGAAGAAGAAGAAGAAGAAGAAGAAGAAGAAGAAGAAGAAACAGTTAGGGGGTCAATAACAGACTGAAACGCAGCATTAGAAGCAGGGTAAGCAGACGGAAGGACACTTTGGGCCGGCTGCATGTTAGCAAACTGTTGCAGTGGGTCACGGTGCTGCTGCGCCATCAAGGCTATATCCTCGTGCAACTTCTCGAGTTCATCAAACTCCTTTGCGAGTTGGCCAGTATGGTCTTCAACAACCCGAACATCTACTAAAGCCCTGAGAAGTGGGACAGTCTTCTCTTCCACCTCAGCGTCAGTTAAGGCGGGCACGATACTGTAAACGGCTTCATGAGCCTTTACTTTGTCCCCCTTCTCCTTCTCTTTCTCTTCCTCTTCCCTCTTCAACGCTTTTTCACAAAAGAATCGGTACTGCGTTTTTTCTGCCTCAGGGGCAACGTCCATTTGCAACTTTTATTCTGCTGCAGACTCCGTGATGGAGGATGAGGGTGTCAATAAGTCTCTCAAGAGTGGTCCGTACTTCCTCACAGTTATGGGACGAACACTCCTCTTCCCTCTCCTCAACCCCTCAAGAGCAACACTCAAAAGCTTCTCTCTCTCTCTCGTTTGCGATCACGTAGACGCAAGCATTTAACGAACCCAATGAAGAAACAACTTGAAAGCAATTAGAAGAGAAGGTAGAACTCCTAGCCAGAGCGGCAATTCATTTGGACTGGAGAGTAGTCAAAACAACAAAATATAAAACAAAATGATAAGAGACATCTGATTCCGCAACACAGTCTGGTCCGACTATGTACGAGGTCAACAAATCAAATTCAAAGTGTACTATATAATGCAAGAGAGAATTGAGTGTTGTCCAAGGTGCGAGTCAGGCGGCGGAACATGCGGTGAAGTTCGTGAAACGTCTCAGCTGAGATCCTCTCAGCAGCGAGTGTCCTGGTCCGAAAGCATGAGCTTCGCGTCCAGCAAGGTAATTGATGTCAACAGATTTCGGCCTGTGGGGCCCTTCTTGTTTGGATCGAGTCCCACCGAGTCCCAAAATACCCCAACAGGCAGTCAATTTCATGCACACACACATTGGCACCCTTGTGGCACGATACTTGAGTGGCCGGGCTCTTGAGATGAAATGAAACTCACCCCCCTCTCACATAGTCCTCCTGACCCGATTAGCATCCTCTAGTGTGTCCTATCATCTAGGAGGGTCAACATCTACCCCGAAGTACAACGTCGGATCCCCTGTTGATGTTGAAGATCAAAGTAGCAACTTGCAGTCCGTAGGTGCAGATATGGCTGCCACCCTCAAGCTCGCCTAACTTGAGGGGAGCCCTATAGTCGCTCCTTGCCTTCCCGAAAGTCCAGATTTGTAGTTGAAGGTGCCCTTCACGGTCATGAAGTCCCACCTTGTGTCTCGCCATCACAAACATGCACTCTAGCAACCTGGCCGGGTCTATTGTCGACCCTACACAACCCTGCCAGGTGGGAGTAACTTCCCTTTTATCACGCTGCCCCACTTAACCCTAACTTCCTGCCCTAACCCTAAGTAGTTAGCCCTTACCACTTAGGTTAGGGTTATGGCGGCAAAGTCAACTCTCGCCAGCAAGTAGAATCCACTCTGATACCAATGTTACGATCCTGGCCTTTTGAAGTACACATTCATAAGAAAGTACAATGTCGTCCAATTGCAAAAAGAAATGAATGAACTTGAGAGGAGAGAGATAGGGAAAGAAGAAGAATACAAGAAAGAAAGAAGAAGAAGATGATGTACTCGAGCATAGACCAATGGCAATGCTCTTCTTCTTCGCGAACCACCCTCCTCCTTATCTCCTCCCCTCTTATTCAAACAAGAAATACAATAATAATGTTGAATGGCTGAACCAGAATCAATGTCCAAATCCCTCTTCTACTGCAGGCGCAACATGAGGTCCACCATAGCCAAGGCCACTCTTCCTCTTCCTCTTCATGTAGGTCGAGGCTATGGCGGACTACTGAGGGCTCCACCCTCCTGTGCAAAGGACAACCCAAAGCAGCTAGTCGCTGCCTGCCTGCGCAAAGGACAACACAAAGCAGCTATCCACTGGTCATTAAGCCGCCATGCCCGACTCTACCCCAAGCTTCCTTGGTGCGGCACTACCCCAACTGGGGCCTTCCAAATGCAGCGCCTATCAAGCTGATGAAGATGGTGTCACCACCATAGCCAG